ATCCACTTCAGCCGATCAATATGAAATGCAAAACGCAGTGAACCAGCTTCAAGAGGAGCACAGGAAAGGAGCCTGGGCAATGCTTGAACCTAGCCTGGTGGTTAGATGATTTTGCTAGAAAGCAAGAGATATGATTTCAACCCCTTTTCAGGTGAGGGGGCCTAGCACCCAGGTCTCTCCTCCCTCATTATGTGCCCTAGCCATTGGGAAGAGGGATGGGAGGGCAGCCTGCTCCTCCTGCTCTTTCATTTTCAGGATGCACACACAGGGCAATCTTATTTTGCCACAAGGGAAGCAGACTCCCAAAGTGTGTGTAAATGCCAAAAACTGCAGTGAGGTGGCTAGACATGCCCTTGAGGTAAGTGAAGTGACACAGGATTCAGTCTGACAACTTTTCTATTGTCAATCGACTTTATTGTGAACATACTCAGACACCATAATCACGGGTGCCAGTATAAAATCAGACTGACAGACAGACAATGAAACAAGAGCCAGCCCTCTAAATCCAAGACAGATAATCCACCCAGTGAAACTTCATTTTCAAAGGAGGGTTAAATAAAAGATCTTTCTAGTTATAATCCTTAGGCCCCCCCCCTTGGTCTGCTTCTTGTCTTGCATTAAAGTCCCAGAAGCTATTTCTGAATATTGGTAAAGGCAGTCCTATCAGCACAGAGTGAACTTCTATGCCGTGACAAGCAGACCTCAGATGGAGGTGGGAAGGGGAAACTGAGCACTAGGGGCGTTTTTCCATGCATTTCCAATGTGGCGCTGGGCACTCTTAATTAGGAAGCCATGCCAATTAAATGCCCCCCACCTGTCATGTGTATCAGCAGCACAGTGCATCCCCGTGCTGAGAAAATGGCAGTGTTGTGTTTTTAATTAAAGCACATCGAATGTGTTTTATTGCACCACCACCATTTCCTCAGCACGGTGATGTGGGGCACCACATGATACACATAATGTACAAGGCTGTCAGAGCGTGTCAATGGACACGTTCAAGAAGTGTTTGGATGCTTATCTTGCTGGGGGTCATCTGACCCCAGCTGAGTTCCTGCCCTTTGGGCAGTGGGCTGGACCTGATGATCTCGCAAGGTTCCCTCGAGCCCTAATGTCTATGAAATCTATGAAGTTTACATGCTCCAGCAGACTCAATTAATCGAGTCTGCTCCAATGTGCTGGATTTCCAGTGCGTTGGAGCATGCTCCCCACATGTGAGTAAGTGCCCAAGGAGACAACTGTCCACTGTCGTGGTTGCACCTGAGCAGGGTTCTAAACAGTATCTCCACGGAGCTACAGAGTGGGCATAATAGCCCATACACCTGCCAGCCTACCAGGGCTCCACATGGAGTGGTTTGCCAATTTCGGACATGGTAAGGGTCCTGCTGCTATGCACATATTCCAGTTTCAACCTCCATCTTTTTAAAAGAACCTAATTGTCCTTGGAATCCCCCATGTGGTCAGCTCAGCTCCACTCCCTCCTTTTCCCACACCTCCAATCCAGGGCAATATGGACGGTCTTCTTCCTGGTGCCTTTTGAAAGGCAGCTGGAACTATGAAAGAACCAAGAGTGTTCCTGAGATGGAAATACAATAACTGAGATCTTGATCTTCCCGAGGCTGCTGGAATATTTGCCATCAAGTTCAGTAGGGAAGGATTTTACCTGATGTGTACATTATGTAGAAAAGGCAAGAAGGCCTCAAACCCGAGCCAGCACAAATAGCCACATTTAAAACATCTCAAGGCATTTGGTATCAGAGGATCAGATGACATGGAGTAGGGCTTATCACTTCTTGTCATGGAAATATACTCTAGCTTATTTCTTCCATTAGAGCTTGCGTGTTGATGGGAGTGGCTGTTATTTTTCTCTGCTACTTTCTTTCAGTGACAAATTTATCTGTTGTTATTTGGTGTGTCTGCTCCTTCCACCCTGTTTCTTCTGTTAATCTGTATTCATTTCCTTCTGGGTATTTAGCCTAAAAACAAATGTTCTTCTTGCACACTTCTACACTTGACTGACTAATTTTCCAGGCACAATAATCATAAAGGAGGGAAATTAGTGACTCACACAGACAAACACAGTTTTATCCTAAAATTGTGCAAGAGTAAAAGGATTGTCACAGTGACCTTTTGGCTTCATCCAAATCATCATACCCTAATTTCAAAACATCAAAATGCTTAAAAAAGGAACAGAATCCTGAAATCACAGGTTGTGATTACCGCTAAGGAATACAAGACAGAATATATTTCAGGTGAGATCTGCACATTTCCCTGGATACAAATCTGGAGTGTCAGTTTTCTACAAAAGTTCTGTTGGGGCTAGAAGTGGAAAAAGCTCAGCTGATGATGAGAAATGTGTGCTGTTTGCTTTGTTTTGGGGCGGGGGGGTTTGCCCAGCACAATCCAAGAAAGCTGAATCTGTGCCTGTACAGATCGCTGATGAACTGGGCCTCTCTGCAGATGCAGTTCCAACCATCTAGACCTGGTATTGGGATCAGGCCCACGGGGTGTAAACTATTTGTGGTAGTGGTTGTTGGAGCTGGACAGCACCAACCTCACTCCTATCTCAAAAATAAATAATGTGGATTTTCTGTATCTCCATCGTCTGATACAAGTCTTGCCATAATAGCATATATATGCAAATGTGAAAATGCTCTGACCGACTCATCCCATTCCTCCCCACACTCTTACCCAGCACTAGCAATCAGTCTGTAGGGCACAATAAGCTACTGAACAGACCTAAACATTGCCCCCCCTCCTCCATCCTTCTAGTTAACAATTTCTGCCAGGGCACTAGACTACCTAGCTACCGAGTAAGTGGCCACTGAGCCAAATATGGCTCTTAGTGCTCAACATGTTTTAGTTACAAAATTCACTCCATTACTACAACTCAGACCCTGAATGAAAGATTTCACCTACTAATTAAAGCGGGGGTGGGCAATTGTTTTGGGCAGAGGGCCGCTTACTGAGTTTCAGCAAGCCATCAAGGGCCGCATGACAGGCAGCCCAGGGCAGATTAATATTAATTTTCTAAATTTTTTAGGGGCCCCGTGGGCCAGATAGAATGGCCTGACAGGCCTCATCTGGGCCCTGGGCTGCATTTTGCCCACCCCTGAATTAAAGACTAGGTGAAATCTGTCTGGGCTGAATGAAGTTTCCCCAGCTGTCCAGCTTCAGCCACTTTTATAATTTCCCATCTACAGAACCAGCTTCTCCTGAGGTTTGGACAGAGCCCAGTAGAGACTCATGACATAGTGCAAAGTCCATCCCTTCTCCCTGATGAAGGGGGCAGGAAGATGGAATTTCACTAGGAATGGATTTGGTCCCTAATTTCTAATCAAAATAATAGTAATGTAGAACAACAACTACTGTATGTAACTCCACAAGGCAAGCCAAATGGCCCCTCCTTCCTGGTCTTGCACAACGCCTTAATCTCTCTTAGGATCGCAGAAAATGAAGGTTGGAAGGGATCTCAGGAGGTCACATCTAGTTCAACCCCCTGCTCAAAGCAGGACTGTCCCCAAATAGATCATCCCAGCCAAGGCTTTGCCTCACCAAGTGTTAAAAACCTCCAAGGATGGAGAGTCCACCACCTCTCTGGGTAACCTTGGCTTAGGCCCTGTCCAAACAATAGGGAAAATCACATGTGCAGGTGGGCAAAGAGAGAAGTGAGGAACGCTGGGGAAATGCTGCAGCTCAGGGCGGAGCTGGACAGCAGCCCCCAGAGGCTTCACGGTAAAGCAGTAACAACGGAGGGGGTGGAACATGAGCCCCAGGCTCGGTCTCCTGTGAAATAAACTGGTGCTGTCTCTTCACCACGGCCCAGGCTTCTGTGGCACCGCTCTGCCACTGTAAGTGCCCTCCCTTGCAGTCTTTTCAGGGAGGCAGCGAACTGAGCGAGCAGCCAGACATGCACCCCTCCTGCCCCGCGGCCGGGCACCGCTCTGCAGACTCAGCACTGAGGCGGAGAAGGAAGGGGCAGGCGGCCGCCCCAGGGCCTGCGTGGATGGCACTCGCCCTCCAGCTGCTCTCTGGTCAAGGCCCAAGGAAAGACAACAACCCTGCCTGGGTCTGTCTGTGCCACTGTGCACAGGCACCCACCCACCGAACTCACGCCCCCTAAACCACACACACACACAGCCCCAGTGTACACCCCGCTGCGCGTGCGTTCACACATGTACACTGCCCCATGCACACGAGTACACACCTCCTGCATGCACGCACACATACACACACATGTGTATATACCCGCACACATTCACACATGTACAGTGTACACACTCCCTGCATACACACAGTGTACACACCCCTCGCACTCACACACGTGTACAAGGCCCTTGCACATGAATAGTGTACACACCCCCTGTGTGTGTGCACACATGTACACAGTGTACACCCCTGTACACACATGCACGCACAGTGTATACACACATGTACACACCCCTGGCATGGAAATACACGGTGTACACCCCCTGCACACACACGCAGTGTACACACACACATACACACCCCTCGCACATGAACACACAGTGTACACACCCCCTGTGCACACGCACACATGTACACGCAGTGTACACCCCCTGTACACACATGCACGCACAGTGTATACACACATGTACACACCCCTCGCACGGAAACACATGGTGAACACCCCTGTACACACACGCAGTGTACACACACACATACACACCCCTCGCACATGAACACACAGTGTACACACCCCCTGTGCACACGCATGCACACAGTGTACACACCCCCTGCATACACACACACGTGCACTGTACACCACCCCCTCAGACACACACACACACACAGAGG